TGTATTCAATCATTTTGCATGAAATTTATCGTGTCATTTATTTTTGCTACTAGATTTTATCCTGTTGCTGTTATGTTCTTGTTGCCCATAGTCAATTGTATTGTTATTTTCTGCTAGTTGTTTGGAGAAAATAATTATGTTGAGGTTATTGTTATTATGTCTTGATCTTGTTACTCTTGTTGTCTCCTTTTTTTTACTACTAATGTACTAAATTAGTTATTTGTGACATAGAAATCTTGTATTATCCTATAAAAATTGTATATCCATTTATTCCCATAAACTGCATAAGATGCACGGTATAGTATATTTACATGCAACCGAGTAACAATTTAGGATATTCTGGATCACTCAGTATCAACACAGATATATATTTATTGTTACAAAATCATGGACTCGCATAGTATATAGTATTGTTGTATCCTCTTAGTAATGAAATATTGAATTCTGCCTTCTATAAGTCTCACTATAACAATTATTTAAATAGTAATAATAAAACTACCAAGTTTATAATTTGGAACCACAATACAGCATTGCAATTACTTGTCAAATCACACAGCTAACTGTACTATATTTGTAATGCTTTTATTCATGAACTTTAGGAAACTGGATGTAATAATTATTTTGAAATAAAATTACCGTGGACCCAATTATATAATCTAGACAGATGGTTAGAAAAGCAAATATGAAACTATTTTCTGATGACAAATAATTGTGATTTTTCTCAATATTGTCGAGGGCCTTGCCCCCATTACTTGCAGGGGTGGCTGTCGATGACGGAAATGATTCAGCGAAGGGAAGGAAGCAGGAAATACGGGAGACAGAAGCTAATAAATTGCTTAAGGAGAAGATTCACCTCGGGGGAAAGTGCTAGGAGGTCTTCTTTGTACTTAACCGTGTCTTTAGTGGTTTTCATCAGCTTTCCTTAAAATATACACACTATTTGTAAACCGTTTTTAATTAACGACACACGATTATTTTATGTGTAATATTATGCTAAACACTTGTGTATTCGCCGTTTTCTTGGCTGTTTTGTAAATAAATATTATGATTCATTTCCTGTTCCTTATAGTTTTATAACGTCTGTATTATTTAAAAAAGATAAAGAGTACTGCACAAAGGGTAATCATAATATTATTATCAAAATAACCAACGACTGAGTAGTATTTTAATATGTTAATGACACTAACAATTTTAACACAAAATACACAAACACGCTTTTTGTTTTTTTAAGAAACTTCATTTTGAAACAAAAATAACGATTTATCAAATTCAATTTAATCATGTAATTAGTTTTGGAGTTTCTCTATAGGGATACTATAAACGGCCAGACAAACAACTCTACAAAATCTTCGAACACTTTTAACACTGATAATAACTATATTTTATGAGAATAATTTTGTTCAATTTTTCAAGTTTTATCATCATCTGAACTTATATAAGGAAAATCTACCTGTTCAAGGCAAGACAACATCAATTTTAATTATTAATACACCCATAAAATGGAGGAGAAAATCTACAAATATTTAATAACTGAGAGGCTGAATCTTTGCCGATAAGTTTTTATAAAGAAGGTTCTTATGTCATGAGAATCTTATGTCATGAAGCACTCAAAGCGTAGTCATTTTAATTTGTTTCAAGTACTACTATAATTCTGTTTGGATAACTTTGATAATTTTTTCCCAGTGTTTTTAAATTAGTAAATGGTGTAAACTACCTTTCTAAATATGCCTCCCCTATAACAGGTGGAAATTTGGAATAATCCTATTCCAAGGAATCATTCAAATTAAATCTAAGGTAATACAGTACCACATAAAAATCACTAGTACTGTACTAATTTTAGATTCCGCGTATTCCTGATGACTTCCAAAACTCTTTCAACATTCGTCTTTCCACATCCCTGTAAACTTCGTCCTCTTGGGCTTTCTTATAATGGCTTTCACATGGACAATCTGAATAGGGTATTTCTTCTTCCGTTATTGTAAACTTCTTTTTTACCCCTTCATTGTTTTCTTCCTCTTTTCGTGCCTTCACAGCTCTTTCTCGTTCCCTCTTATCTCTTAAAACTTCATCGTTTTCGTCTTCCTCTTGTTGGATCTGCAAGAGTACACTTCCAACAAAGTCATCCTTCGTAGTTTCCACGGGAAGCACTGGAATTCCCTTCCTCATGTGATATGAAGTAGGAACCTTTTCAATTAAAACTTCTTTGACCCCGCGATAAATTATTTCGTGAAACCTTTGCATCATGATGTCCGGTATGGGATTTTCTAAAACAAAACATAATATAAACAGAATCAGGTATATTCATTGTATTAGAAATTGTCATACTGCCTAACGAAAAGCTGTATAAAGAAATACTACTATTGTTTAAGTAAGCTTATGTTCAAATGTGATGAGGTACTAACAAATCTTTCGATGAAAATCTTATCATTTCAATTCACAATGAAGGCAGACAGGCTAATACTTTTGCCTTCTGAGATATATTTTAATTAGGTTAAATAGAGAAAAATCTCAATAAACTGGCGTTCTTTGAGATGCTTGATCTGAAGGGACTCATGTATTATATTCTGGACTATGCTGGTTATGTATTGGATTCTGTTTATAGGACGCCTATAATGTCTTAGCTTACAATATACGTCATGCTGTCATGCTACACTATGATGTGACTTAACATGCACGCAACTTCCAATAAAGATCCATTTGACATGTAAAGGTTTATGAGCTCTAGAAAGTATTCAACATCAATGAATCAAGAATCGCTAGCCTTTACTACTTCAGTTTATCCTCATGTGCATATCCTTTACTGTTTAGTCTTTTAATACATATAACTAATTAAAGGGTGTACCCTACCGAAATATTCACCGATGAACGCAATGTCCAGTCTCTTCCTCCACACCTGAGTAGCGTTGCTGAGGGACCTAGACGCACTCACTTGCCACCCTCGCCCTTCATACACCCTCCCGTCACCTCCTATAAGGAAACTGCAAATTGTAAATGTCTTCGTGTAAAACTGCGTAGTGAGAAAAGGTTTTATTAGGAACTCACCAAACACAACAAGTCGCTAAAAAATGGAGAAATTTGTCATTTGGAAGAAAATCTAAACATTCTAAATAATACATGAGTTGTTTAGAGTAAAATTGTAAAAAGAAAGTGTTAGCTAAAGTTACAAAGGATTCACAACAGACAAATAACTTTCCTCCCCCCCCCCCCAAATTTAGCAGTTCTTATTAGGTTGCTATTTCCATAATTTTTGTGAAAGTTTAACCAGCTAGACATCAAACTGTAGTTGGAGCTACGGTTTAATACTTTTTAAATCTTTATGACTGTACCTATACATGTTTTCATGGTACATTTTTATTTTATTTTAACTTTAAATGTCAAACCACCATAACGTCAAACTAATTTAATTTATAGCACAAAACAACCATTGTAAATTTATGGTGATTGTTTTAAATTACGTGCTATAAATACAATTCATAATACAGTATAATATCACGGGTAATATACCAGAAACTGTATGGATGGTAACGTTATTTTGTTTATGTTTATGTTCCATATAGGTTTCTGTTCTAATGTTGGCGAGTCTTATTAGCCAATATAATCTATTTTAAAGTGTTTTATAAAATTTAATGTGTTCGATGTATTAATTTTGATGTATTAATCAATGTATCATTTCGATGTTTGTGTCAAAATACTCACTTGAACCTGATGTCGTTGTAGCCTTTGGTCATGTCCTTTTCCTGTATCGTCTGCACAGTTCTCATACAGTCCTCGGCTGTGCTGCAAGGCTCGTTTTCGGTGAAGTGGTCGAACACTAGTTTATAAGGCAGCTTTGGAACATTTAACTTCTCGTCATACACCCGTTCCTTTGCCTGCCATTCTTCCCTTGTGACTAGCTGGAAGTTGTAACTCTGAAATCCTTGTGAAATCTCTCCCTTTGGAGATCCCATGAGTAGCCTTAAACACTGAGAAATTCGTCAACACCGTGATTTAAATAGTTCAATAACACTTGGTTCAACAGACGTTTGTGCTACAAATCAGTGTACATCATTAGATAAAATGCTAACACCAGATAGAAATAACCTACTATCACAAGTATCATGGTTGATATGGTTAGCATCATTTTTTAACGTTGTTTCATTGCGGGTCGAGATATACCATGTTAAGACCTGTTTGAGTGTACCGGAAATGAAAGTTATCCATAGTAAAGGGTGGGGATGTAAAATAATCATATCTGGAATGCAATGAAAAAGTGGCATTTAAGTTTGTGTTGTTTTAACTTTATTTACGATCTGAAAAAAAAATTTACCAAGATAGTTCTTCCTAACAGTCAACTGTCATTTTTGCAAACTGTTTACTTCTCTTCGTTTCAAATATATTTCATAGGTTTATATAACTTCTTTTAACATATTACCAAAAAACTATTCTAATAGTGCTTTTCAATAAATACAGTTGTTCATACTGATCATTACATAACTGTTAACCATTAACAACTAAGTATAAAACTCTTGAAGCTGCCTAAAAAAGTGTAAACATTTGGCAAGAAACACTTGAAAACTGTTTAACTCAAATTGGTTAATTTACGTCATTTTCATACGTTACTATTGCCAAAAATAACCTACTACAATTACAACTGAGAGAACATTAAATTTATAAAAAAGAAAAGGATTAAAGTTGAAGTCATGATTCCAATCAAGTTTTATATAGAACAAAGATTTTCGTCAAATCATCAATTTCCTACATAGTGTGTTGGTTGTAATTGTTCTTATTACAGGAAAAATCTTAAATGCATAAAAATTGTTGTGAACATATTTAGTTTATTTGACAAAACGACCAACAAAAGTGTGATTTATACAAATAGTTTACAATAATGTAAAAACAGATAAATATAGATCCACATAGAGTGGATTTTGATAAAATAATCTTATATCATAGTCAGTCGAATACCTTTATACATATGCTATGTCTAAATTAAGTAGAAAAAGCTTCGGTTTTAAATTCTGAACAGATCTAGGAGAAGCTAAACAGTTCTATGGGCTCTCCACGAATCTTACTTTCCTTATCTACTTTATCAGCTATTTTCCTAAGCTCTTTCTGAGGATCATACTTTTCTTCGTACTCGTTGTCATTATCACCTGATTCTTCCGGTGCCGTAGTTTCTGAAGAATATATTTCTGACTTGGTTACACCTATATCATCAGATGCACTTGAAGAGTCGGATTCACGTTTGGAATCAGATTTACCCGTAGATTCTGATGTTTTCGTAGAATCTGATGTTTCCGTAGAATCAGATGACTCGTACGTTGATGTGAACGGAAGTTCTTCTCTATCCGATGTATCCGGGGAATCTGCAGTGTCTGTATTGAGATCAGTGTTGGAGTGAAATGAAAGATCCGAGGATTCTTTAGGCTTCTTTTTCTTTTTCTTACGAGGTCTCTCTGATCGAGGTGGCTTCTTTCTGGTTGTTCTTCTCACTTCGCATTCAAGAGGAACGTAGTCCATGATATTTTTCCCCACATGCAGTCTGTTGCAAAATATTCTGATCATGTTAAAGTGAACCCCGTACGTAATTATATGTTCGTATCGAGTTTGCATTATGTCAGGTATTTTCTTTTCTGAAACATTTTGCGTTCTATGTACAGAAATAAGGTTGTCTTTAATAATAGCGTAATGTGTACATAAAAATAGCCTAGATATAAAATAGCTATAAAGTAAACAAAACTCTTTACTAGTATAAACCTAGGATGTCTCTTCGTATATTAAACCAGAAATATCAAGAAGATATGCAAAAATTATATTCTTATGCTATACAATACACAAAAGGAACATCTGATCGATTTCTTCTTAAGCGTCTTAATCTGCCTTTTACATTGCTGTTCACATTCAGTATAACATTCAGTACTTCTAGTTCTGCCTTTTCGGGCAGTCTAAATAATTGTACTGGGCTTCCAGCAAGAATCATCTAAAAAAAACTTGTTAATAACTATTTCATATGTGTTTCACTTACCTGTATAGTCGCCGATAAATGCAATGTCCAGCCGCCTTCTCCATAGTTTGACAAAGGTCCGCAGAGCTCTCGACGAGCATTTCCCCCACCCTCGTCCCTCATATACGTTACCATCCCCTCCTATCAGGAAGCTGAAAATTTAACAAAGATTGAAGCTTTTTCAACTATTCTAATTAATTATAAATATTCAGTTACAAAAAGGGACAAAGTTAAAAGTGAATACTTCGAACCGACCGGAAATCTTTTGTATTACCTTGTACACCAATATATGTCTAGGTAAGTGAGGGGTTATGCTTCTTCAATCGCCGTTGTTCAAAGGCAAACTATGGCCCTATCTTTTTATCTACCTAGCTCACATCCCCCAATATGGTAGGAAAGTCAGCCGGTCTATAGGTAGAGCGCAGGACTTCAGGCTTTGAGGATCGGGTTCAAATCCCACCAATGAATTTTATCCATGTGATCCATGTGATATTGAAATCCCTAGGCCTAAAGTAATTTGAAAACAATCCCTGTCTAGTGCATATCTTCCTAGGACAAAACTTAATATACATACTGGTATTTAATATCACTGAACCCCTCATCCATATGTTGTCGCTGCATCTGCTGTACCTCTCGCATACACTGTTGGTAGCTGTAGCAAGGCTCGGTGTACGTGTAGTGGTCCAGTACCAACTTGAAGGGATGCCGAGGTCTGTGTAAGCCCCGAGGTGGCAAGGCTCGCCACTCTTCACGTGTTACATTGTGAAGAATCATGTCGACGTCTCCTGGACCCAACTCACTCTCGTCCAACCACATGGTGAGGACTTCCGGAGAACTGTTGATTCTGAAGAACTTCTGAAACGATAATTGATTGAATTCGATTTATTCTGGATTTACAATGGATGCAGAAGAGAATAGTGTGGTGATTAAACCCCATTTTAGAGAATATGTACATCTATTTATCACTCACATAAAGGGGTTGGAGGGAGACACATGTGAAAATAAGAATTATTTACATGAAAAAGATGTTTACTCGATATTTGAAACGGAGTGACGATACTCCAGAGAATGTTGTTTAGTGTTTCAACCCTGTTTTGGGGAATCTAGAGAGATATTCTCACCCACCTATGATTAGTTACAGGAACATACCTTATTATTATCCTTTTTCGTCCAAATCGATCATCTGTGTGGAAGGGTAATAACTTTATAGATATCTTAGCCAAAGAGACGTGAATGCATACATTTATAAAAAAAAACTTGTTCCAAATAAACAAAAACCGTCACCCAGCATTAATGAGACTTCAGGGAGTCGAAGCCGTTAGCTAGTTGGACTAAAAGAATCACCCGGCATTAGAGTTATGTAATCTACATTTATTGTTTTGACTACAAGTTATTTTGAGGATAAGAGCATGAAGTTTATTCTTTTTATGAACAAATCAAAATATATTTATTCCTGAATAAACATTTTTACATAAATACAAAGTGTGTATACAGGAAAAATAATTACCAAGTGGACTATTAGTCTGTATAACAATCTTTAAATCCAATAATTTAAACGAATGTATCTTCTAGATAATGTTAACAACAACGAATGTTTACAAGATACGAATTGCCGTTTCTCGTAACGTGTAAGAAAGTTAATCAATATAGGCTATACCTCAAGATTACAATGTGTCCTTGTTATGTTTACTTTTTGTATTGTTCAGTTACCATTTGCAAAGCTAGATAAAATAAGCTTACCGTTCACCCTTGTTACCCAATGTTTACAAACTGAAACTGTAATAATATTACTACTGTACTCTGATAAGATAAACTCAATAAGGAAAAGATAGTTATCACAATTTATTCAGTCTTGTATTAATCCGAACTCGGTAAAAAACATTACTTTTCGAAACCCTGTATAGGAATATTCACTTTGATAGGCAATTTGAAATAAAATAACGTATCATTCCGATGACAATTATAATTATAATATTTTTTCTGACCATTTATTGAACCTTGTAACCTGGTCAATTAACCATGTCACATGTTGAACACCTTTGATATATTTTGAGAATCATCATTTTAAAAACTACTTTCTCTTTATATTTAAAATCCGCTGTGTGGAATGGGACATTTGAAAAAGAATCTATAAACGTTAGACAGTATAGCTTGTAAAGGGTTTAGGTTTCTGTTTAACTTTTGCTGTCACAGCAGTGAATACGTGTATATCCATCGGTTAGGCTATAAGTTGCATCTGGGTGTTAATATCGTAGATGGTTTCATTTTTGCTAAGTAGGATGTAAAATCAAAACAGCGAACCTACAACCTAAGTAGATGCTAAGAAGGTTTTCTTCAATCTTTATACACACATTATTAAGTTGACAGTAAATTGTTACGTATTCTGATATAAATAACATGGTTCTTAGTGGGTATACACGTTTTCTAATACAACTAACACTGAAAAAAGTTATTTGTGTACATGTAAGTAACACATATGAGTAAAACAATATGATTAACCGTTTGTAAAAAAAACATCAAAATCTTTGTTAGTATGTAAGGAGGGTTAAGTATTAGTTATACGTTCACATAGATACTGTTTTCGAGATTATAAAAATACAACTTACTTTTAGAATTTGGGTACGGTCTTAAAATAATACCACTGTTTCTATTTGTGGGAAATAATTTTATCTCATTACGATAGTCTGTTCAAAACATTTTGTTGATTTTATGGAAATAAATCCATTTCCTCCACTAGATCCTACCCATAAAACAATACAGCTGAGATTGCCAAAACGTCAATCAGCGGAAACATACACAAGCCGAGAAAAGTAGTGGGAGAACTTCCCCTCAGACTGCCTAAACCTTGTGAGCGGATTAATAGGTCAGCTTTAGTTTACACACATAGGAAAATAAATTGTGTTCAGCGGAGACAATAATGCTCTTTAACTTTATTAACATGTTCTTTTGAAGTTCAATATTTTACAAAGTTTGTTTTGAAGTACAATGAACCAAAATAAATTACCTAACTTACTGGAATAACCATGGGAAATCCCAAACACTGATTTAGATACAGTTTTACCTAGAAAGTTGTAGCAACACACGCCATCTACTATAGTAAAAATCTTAATTTCAAGTTCCTTTCCACGACTTCTTCACCTGCAGGATAGGTGGCAGTTGGAACTCGTCTGGGGGATGGTACTTCTGGTAGAGCCATTCTTCTGCTGTAGGGAACTCCCCAATGCGGCCCTCTCTGACGCGGTTTCTCCAGGTATAAATACGTACAATCTCGTGTCCGTCCAGGAGGTAATTCTCTTCAATACCCAGTCTCTGTATGTTCTGTGAGCCTTCCAACATGTCTAGCGGTGGGTTGTATACAGCTGGGGGATAAATTTGTATCATTTTATATTACGTGTATGTTTATTTGTAGTTTTAAAGTTCGGAAGGATTTTATTAACGAGTTCGTAGGTATTTTAACATAACAACTTATTTTTAGTTTTGTGTACATGCATAAATTAGTTAAGTTTTTCACGATTTTTGCATTGGTATTTTGTTACTATGTAACACACTGGCCAGTTTTAGTGACTCGGTGGCTCAGTCGGTAGCGTCGCGGACTTCGGGCCCAAGGCAGCTATGTCGTGGGTTCGGATCCTGGTCACTGCCACTAAAATTTATCAGTACGGTTCACCTTTGTACTGTACTGGCTCACTCCTTGCTTTGCTGTAAACGATCCACGCACGGGCGCTTAGTCTATGTGGATGGGCAAAATGCAAGGTTAAAGAGGCCGCCAACCTCTCAAAAAAAAGTTATACAGCTTGTAATCATAAATGTATAATAACATATATAGTAGGAAGAGTTTTGAAATACAAGCCCATGATTAAATAGCAATGAGAAGAGCAAAAAGATTAAGTTTAATTTAAGAATATTGCTGTAGTGTATAGCGTTTTAAAACTTGGTAAATATCTAAGGTTAGCAATCTTTGGAACGATTCTTTAATGTTAGGAAATCGTAAGCTGTAAACGTAGTTAGCATGCCAAAGCACTCCCTAGTTAATATTATGACTTTAGAACTTAACAAGTATTTCTTATTATTTGAAGTATTCTAATGTGTTTTTTAACCAACCAAGTTTTTAATTTATCGAAAAAATAATTCGTAAGCATTAACGTGTTTAGCGCAATGAATAGCTAATTTGATCACAATAAAGAACTAATAGATTCTTTTGTATGACTGATTTTATTTTTTAAGTACTATTTAATATTTGCCTTTCAATGTTGATGCTCACGCTAACTGAAGTTCTATGGATTTGTGCCTGAGCCAAAGTTCCAGTGATTTTATTTTGTAATATTCGTTCATAATTTTCTGCCGTATTGTATAGGTCAATCAAGGCATTCAATTGTCAGTATATACATTCATTATGTTCAAACATGTATATTTTCCAAACCTGCTGTGCATTTTCATGTTACTATAAAAATGCAAACTTAACATAGGAAAAATTGATTTCTTTTAAAGAACCTGATGCCACATGAACCATATGTGTCAGACTAATATCATAATCCACATATACTTACATATATTAATAACAACTATACTTACTGTCATAGTCCCCGATGAAGGCAATATCTAGTCTTCGTCCGTATAATGCAGGGTTAAACTTGAGAGACTTTGATGACTTGGTGCTCCATCCTCGACCTTCATACACAGTTCCGTCTCTCCCAACCAGGAAACTATTAAAGCAAATAGTTTAAAAAATTATTTCTCGTGTAGCTATGATGTCCTAAAATTAATTTAAAACGGTAAATAGCCGTGAAAATCTGTAACAGGGTTTTTATTATAGTTCGATATAAATGTTACATTTAGTTGAATCTACAATTTATTTTATACTGTTTAACATGTTTCTTTGAAGTTCAATACTCCACAATGTTAATTTTAAATTACAATGAACCGAAATAATTTACTTTTTTGCATGTGTTAAAGGTAGCTAGTGACATCATCTCAGTCATCAGTGCCAGAGAGATGGGTTCGATTCCCACAACTTCCCCTAAAATGTTTTGGCTTTTCCTTTACTACCGTTTGTGAGCCATGTGAAAATATTATTGGCGTGGTTACTAAAACCGGCAATTAACTCTTTTTGTTGGATAATTCTTTTAACAAAAAACCGCGTTTACATGTTTCTTATTACTATTAAATATCAATAAAAATTTGTTTGATTTGGCCGACGTATGAAAATGTCAATATGTAATAGGATTCGATACAATTTCATAAACATGCGAAATTCTAAATTCAAAGACACATCTTTCTCCAATCTTAAAAAATGTTAAACATTCTTGCTGCTTTGGGCTAATATACAAATTTGAAGCTAAAGTATTTCCACAATAATCATAATAACTTATTACTTACCGGTGTAAGAACATGTGCAATACCTGCGAAAAATTAAGATGCTTTAAAGCCATATTAACAAATCATCATTGTGCATAAACTTCAAACACTTTAGGTGATGATTCTTTTATTGAAACTGAAACAAAAATCATAGAGTTATACAAAATTTAAATCGTTAATTTTTTTTGAAATATTTAAATTATAAAAGTTTTTGCATCTAGAAAATTTCATGCACTGAAAATCGGTTTACACTATAACAATAAAGTTTTCACTATTATAAACAAAATCTTATGTTGAAGCTCCTAGAAAAATCGTTCCTAGAAAATATTGCGTTCTTTATAATCGATCTGATCTTCAAGGCCGTCAAACATGAAAATTCTCACCACATAATGCTCTAAATTTAAAGACTTTCCGTAAATGTGTGTATCCCTACAATGAAACACCCAGACTAGCATCATTGTATTCCCGTTCAAACCATCGGACAACTTTCTGTTTAATATATACTTTTTATATCTGTATCGCTTGTTTACAGTATTGCTTCATAAGGACAACGATTAAGCCCAACCGCCAACCCCATCTAGCGTTAACTTTAGATGTAGACTTTAAAAGTTGCTCTGTTCTATTCAGGTATGTTCTAAGTTCTTTTGGCGTGTTTGAAAACACTTTTAAAATTATAATGGATATGACAATTTGAAAAAGCCTTTTTGTCTATTAGGCCAGATTATGGCAGATTTCACTTCCAAAAATGCATTATTGTCCTGTGGGTACTATTATTAAAGACATTAACCTATAGTTTAAACGTGGAATCCACTTTGGATGCAACAATACTATGAATATGGGTTTAAGAAAATCTTTCATGTTCCCAAAGTTAACTTTAAATGCATAGTTAACCTATACGAGAGCTTTTGAAGGATATGAATCATATGTGTCCTGTTGTACCTTACTTGTAAGCGATGTCTGACATTCCCTCGTTCATGTGTTTCTTCTGTAGTCTTTGCAACACTCCGATACAGTCGGCTCTAGCCAAGCACGTATGTCGCCTCGTGCTCATGGTGTACACCACGTACTTCAGTGGGAACTTGTCATTAGGGATTGGGTCCTTCGGAGGCAGAGCACCCCATTCCTCGCGGGAAACGAAATGGAGAGGTTCCTGATAGTCTCCCTCTGCAAAAAATGAGAATGATTTAGTAAATTATAATATGCAACACAGCATATGTTAAAGGTTTTAATTGTATTCTTTAATTAGTTTTTTTAATGTCCCACCTTCATATCCTAGAACGATAGACTCTACTCCGAAACTGTGTTTACACATTACTCCAGGCAGAGGGTCGTGGTATTATCACATGGATGAAATTAATTGGGGATTGGTGGGATTTGAGCCCGTGACCTCTGAGTCGTAGTCCCGCACCATACCTCCAGACTAGCTCACTCTCCTTATAATATAATAGCAACAACATTTTCTAGTAAACATTTCATTTATATAAGTCACATGTTTACTCCAAAAAATTGAACAACACGAATTAACGACCTACGACCAGGAGCCAGGAGTGTAAATTACAACATAATTACGTTGAATCTAAATAGTAAATGGTGAATATGCTTTATAGAAAAATATATAGGTTAATAATTGTGAATTTGGAGAAGCCAAGATAATAAAAAGAATAAGACAGCGTTCCGTCTCAACAAATATGCTGACTTTGTACATAACTTTAATAAACCATCACCTGGTCCTATTTCTGGCATCTCCTGGAATGGCTGTTCTACATCCTCTGCCTCCTCAATATCCGAGTCAATCTTCTTACGACCCTTGAAAATCATCTCAACATGGGGCATGAACCCATCCTCATCAGGCGAAACAGTTGCATCGGACTCTGACTCCATCCTTGGTGATAAACAACGCGTCAAGCCGGGAACTCACGAGTTGCCATCGAAACCGAAACTAAAGCTCAACCATCAATCAGTTTTGAACTCTGATCATTTATCGAGAAATTACCAGTACTGAGTTGTTGATAACAAAATTAGTGATAAGGCTTAATCGTTTCTTTTACATCTCATATGGTTGCGTTTATTTGAGATGTGTGACTTAAATTATTTTGTAAGTTAGGTCTGAAGCTAAAGTCTGTAGAATTGAATTTAATCAGGGCTTGAAAGTGGTGCCTCAACAAGTAAAAACAGTGTAAACAATAACAAACTTTTTTGAACATATCCTATAATTTAATAGGCAAGCGTGTTTCTTGAAAACTTTTATCCTCCGCTCTTGTGCATCGCTGGGAAATTCCACGAATACTGTTGGAAAGATATTTTCCTATAAATGTGCAGAATCCCTTAATAAATTAAAATAGGCTAAAAAATAATCACAAGATTGAATTTAATTATTAATTTTATTTATTATCTTGGGCCTTATGCGTTGCTATGCTGGTGACGAAATAACGAAACATAAACATAAAATCAAAATAATTGGAAGAAATTTCAATTACATGGTTTATTTACAGCGTGGGGTGAAAGCAGAGTAGTTTGTACGTTAAATATTATTGGTCGAGTTTTCCATCACTGGACGACCTATAGTTATGAATAATAACATCGATAAAACTTACTCGCCCATTAGATTTCTCATCCTTATGGAAAAAACCATGAAATGAATCCTAAAATAATATAGGCCTACACTAAATCTCGTCGACACTAGTGATCAGTGTTACCAGACATGAACTATTTATTTCCAAATACATTGAAATGCACTCAATAAAATAAAACCTTACACACAACTTATTTATTTATGTTCATATTGATCAACAATACAATTTACTACTGAAACTGCAAGTTAGTTACTTTAGATACGTTTTGTTTTTCAAAGGCCCCAGTTACGTTCCATCGCCGTTAAGCCAGGTGTAATCTTCAAACAGCTCGTGCAGTAAGTACGTTCTTTCACCCTCCGCCAACAAAGCGTCCATATTATATACCATGAGGGGTGGAGGGTATGCATCTGAAACAAGTGCAATCAGTCAAATTTGTCCGCCGGACAGGGTGGGTTGTCTTGGTTCGCCCAATCAGGTATTTTCTCCGTCAGCCAAGCGTCCCAATCTCCTTTCCAAGTGTCCCAGTCCGCCTTCCCTTCTCCTTTTAGCACCAAGAGGTCTCTGTCTATCCGGACGGTCTTCAAGAACTCACCGTAGGATACTAGGTCTACCGCCTGCTCCACGTATCTCCACGGGGGGTGAGGAACATCTGGAACAGGTATGGCATGTCAATTATAGTCTGTATGATGGAACTTGTCTAGTGACCCTGTCTAGCTGAAACTGGTACAGGCCTTAATTATGGATAGTCCCCAAATAGACGAACTGTCAGGAGACAGGTTTTCTCATACAGACTATAGGAGGATGTTTGGAGAGTATTGCTCCAAGCAATCCTCAGGGATGATCACTATACGCTAGTGGTATTATTAAACCAACGACAACTAATTGTTCACTAGTGAATTCCGTGGAAATCTACGGTTTCTCTTGAGGCTTTCCGCAAATTCAGCTAACTACTATACAAATATGGTTGTATAATTCGTTGAATACAATGTTTCCGGATCTTTCATTGGCAACTGGTCACCCAAAAGGTATTTGCTGAATCTTACATTTTTTCTTGTTCTAAGCATTGTTCATGAGCCTCTTTCACCATGAGGTAAAAGGCGATGACATGAAATTATTGGAATAATCAATCCTTCATAAAGTACACTGCACCTTAGCGGCTGCAGTATTTAAAAACTGGTTGCTGTACTATGCTCTACGTGTTGTAATGTTAAACTGGGGTGAATTCTCATTAATTCCGTTTAAAAGAATATAGTCCCTCAATTTTGTCGATTTTAACCCTAACCACCTGTAATTTAGTTCACTAAACTTACAAGCTAAACCCTCCTCATATTCCTTCTATGATAAATATCATTTGTGTGGATATTAAACACTTACTTCTGTAGTCTCCAATGAAAGCTATGTCCAGTCTCTCGAGGTAGTGGTGAGGGTTCATCTCCAGGACTTTAGAAGACTTGTTGTACCATCCTCTCCCCTCATATATCGTGGCCTCCTTGTCGCCTCCGATGAGAAAACTGTAACCACAGACTGGATTAACTAATATGTTTGAATATTGGAAACACAATCGGTAGCTACAGTATATTGGCTGCAAAATTCTTAACTCCCTCCCACTACACATGAAAAATTTATCAAGAAAAAACTAAAGAAGAGAACTTTGGAACTGGCTCGTAAATCAATAAGTGAACTTAGTCAAGGATTTTTTTACATAAGCAGATAATTTAAAATTGTAAAGCAAGAAAAATGTTTTATTATTAGTGGATTACATAGTGTATAACCATTTCTGTAAATTACGGTAATGTATTTCTTGAAGAAATTACTTATAAAGATGCTCTTCTTGTCCAAACACCACCATAAAGTTGAAATAGTAGGCGTTGAATCTTACATATGGGGATGTTAACAAATGTAACATATGTATTCAATCAATTTAAAACATTTTTTCATAATGAAAATTTATTGAAGGGTTTCCCATAGTACATTAATTATATCCTTAATTGTGGGGAAAACGATAACAGCATCTCTACGGCAAGGTAAAGTAGCTCACCTCCAATTCGTAATGACCTCTCAAACCTCTAAATTGCAATCATCGACCTAACCATGTGTTTGAATTTCGCACCTTTCATCTTCATAACACATGTTTTAAAAGATACTTACTTCCATTTGATATCCGACAGCCCAAACTCATCCATGTGACGCCGCTGTAGCTCCCTCATGGTTCTCTCGCACTCCTCAGGTGAGGTACAGGGTGGAGTGTCCGTCCAGAGTGTCAGGAACACCCTACGAAGGGGTAGCTTGGTCGGGACCGTCTGCTTGGCTGGGAGTGCTCCCCATTGAGAGCGTGGAACTATCACAGGCTTTGTTCTTTTGACGACCTCTACATACAAGAAATAAGTATTACAATATTTAAAACAGTGACGGTTCCAAGGGGGGCTATAGGTGCTTCACCTTAAAAATTTTTTTAAAATAGTGAATTTTCCGGGAAAGGACTCCGACATCCTCCTGATTTGGAACACTCCCAGTAGGCCCCCTTGACAAGATCCTAGAACATGTTGTTTTAGAGTCATTTAACCTATTGCCTATTACAACTATGCAACCAATTTCGAAGTTTTTCATTTAATTGACACATAACTATTATAGTTCAAATACATCTTGTGCTTGTTGTAGATACATTTAATTTATTGGTTACCTATTCAATTTATACGATAAAGTGTGAATTTTAACAAATGCAACTTAAGTATTTTAGTTTTTCTCCGTGATTGCTATGTGATATTCAATTGTTATGTTGTATTTGAGCGGCTGCAGGAAACGGTGGATATAATTACAGGGTTGAAATATTAAAAAAATAGTAAATTTATTAAAATTTTGCATTGTTGAACATTTTCGACAAGGTAAAGGCTTACAAAATGCGATGGTACTTAAATATGATGATTGGTCTAAAAATCGCTGCTGCATAAGAACAATTTATTTGATGGTGTCTGTTCGTTATACTTAACTAAGTGGTTCACCAATATCAAATCATACTGATGAGAACAATATTAAAGATTTTCTAAATAATCCTAAAACTTTTAGATTTTAATACTACTTTTCAACTTGTAATTGTAAGATAATATTCATTCTCATAAGCTTTGATTATTTGACAATTTAGTTTCAACTGCAACACTAGTTTAATTGGCAAGACGAGTAACTAAGGTGATTAAACTTACCTTGTTCAAAAGGCTTTAAGTCCAATGATGGATCAAACTCAATTTCATCATGTGGGTATGCAGGTTTATAGGTCATATTGAATATGAATAATCAAATAATAGTTTATGAACACAATTCTCAATTTACACAAATTCCCACCAAGTTACATGGTTACATGATGACTAAAAATACGCATTCTCGTGGTTAGAGATTAGCAAATATAACGTTTCAATGTGTATGATAAGGATTAATGCATTAGACATTCGTTTACTTTACATTCGTTTACGTTTACTTATCCATATTCATTAGATATTCGTTTACATTGTTAAACTGGGTACGCTAATTCAATGTTAATTTATTAATGTTGAATTTTCCTTTATACTGTATATAGTAGCCCTATTATTCTATTTTCATATTGTTCATGTGAATATGTTTATATTTCCCCAATTCTTAGTATTATGGTAGGATCAGATGCACAGGTTTTTTTCTTGAAGGCTGTCTTCTTTTCCTAAGAACACACACGTTATTTTACTTCTATAATTGAAGGATAAGAAACGCATTCTGATGAATAATAATATAATTAAACCTTTTCTTTGTATGTTTTTTACAAATTCGCACTAATCCAAATCAGGTTGAATCGCTCTACTGCAAACTATACCTCGAATATATAAAACTATTTCTTCCTTGGTTGGATTCATACATCCATGTGGGATTGCAGAGACAGTAATGCTTAGCACATGTTCCGTGGCTATTCATATTCAAAGGTGTTGAATGCTAAAGAGGGTCAGCTAGGCTTTAAACATGCAGAAAGCCCAGAACATTTATATGTAAACCAATGGTCTGGTCAACCTAGCGTTGCATTTCTAATGGTACTTTTTGCATTTACATAGCTTATTTTTTAGGTATCGACATAGGTTCTATGAACAAAGCATGTAGGTGGCTAAAAATAAATATTTTTTTGGTTGACTTCTTTGGATATCTTAAAAATATATTTTTTTATGTCTATGTTCTTTGTATTATTTGCTTTTTATATCGTCCCTTTTTTACTCTGTATAATGTATATGGCATGCCAGGAGTAAATTATCACAGTTGAAAATACAAACAAATTACATAAAAGTGCGTGTATTGTCAGGATACAAAAGTAGGACAACTAGTCTGTAGTAATAATAATTTGTGAATCAGCTGTAAATGCACTAGCCATGTCAAGACACATAGCTACACAGCCATCTCACAATATTCTACATTCATCCCTCACTCATTTGTGGGTGAAAATGCGCACTTAAGGTGGCGTAACCATCTCATTGATTGATAATTAATATTGCATTATTGATTGACTTGAAAGTTTAAGAATGTATATTAGTTTTTGAAACCATAATTTTCAGAAGGATTCTCAAACATATGAATCATCAAACATTGTTGAAAATGTTCATGGTTTTTTGAAACTACGTCTAAATTTTACTTGTAAACTAGCTTGCAAATACAATGGCTATTACATCTATACAGTGTGATCACATTTATACATGAGGTATATTTTAAAACTATAGTTAGCTCAAATAACGAATGTGGTGGGGAAAGGGGTCAATGAATGCAAAACTTATCATTGGCCGAAGGTACAATCCCCGACCATCTTCGTTATTTGAACTGACTATAGACACGTATTTCAATAGCCAAAATATATCTGAATACTACCATCACACTAACTAAACCTAATTTGTAATCCTATTAACCCATTATTTCCAGTAGTCAAATCAATAACTACTATGCTTTTACAACGATAGTATTATCTCTATTGAAATTATTTTCTCATCAAGTCAAACTGTTATCGGTGTAATCAGAGCCTTCTTGATTAGAGCCGAACAAGATGCAATCAGCTGTGGCACGTGTCGACGTGCATAACTAGCGCTGCACGTGGCGACTAATTGTACCACCAGGGGCGCAAAGTCTATGACTTCACTATTGTCCCTTTCATCCCCGCTGTCATTTTTGATCGCTGATAGTTGAAGTTGACCTCTAAAGGGTTACTGGTACCCGTATGAGAGATTTTTATACATAAAGGGGTTATCCTGGGGGAGATTTTATAGTTTGGGAACTAAATTTTGAATATTTCGTTACCGTGAGAAAAGAGGTTTGGAATTGATCATGGAGTTTATTTGATTTGAAGAAGAATTTAAATTTGTTGGATTTTTCAATTGCCTACCATTAAACCTCTGTACAAATTTAGTTATAAGTTAGTTATAGGTTCTTTCATTTAGTTATGGTTTAAGATTTCGCAAAATCCCCTTTCTGATTGTTTATTTTCTCAAAAGGTCCTAAATGAGGGTGTAAGTAAAATCCGGGAGTGGATTTATGAGCTCGCACTCTTCTCAATAAACATGAGCCTGTTAAAATTGCATAACCTGTTTGTTCATCGATTTTTCTAAATTTTTTATTTTTTATTTAATAACTTTTTAACCCTACCTGACTCCGATATTGGCACACATGGTTATAGCATAAACATCTATGCTGACAATTCAATTGGAGGGAAGAGAGGTAATGATTTGCCCTAGGTTACGCTGCCGGTAATGTAAAAAATAAAAATTAAAAATAAATATCTAGTTTACTTTGTTACCCAATGGATATCTTAAACAAATACATCAAAGTTTCGCTTTAAAGCGAGATTATACTCTTTATGGGGAATTTTTAATAACTATTTCAATGTAGGAAATTGTATTAGATCATTCATTTTATCGCATTACTAATTATAGCTGTTCAAAAACGAAACGTTGCTTTGTGCCATGCTTCTATACCCAATGACTGTTACATATTATTCACCATACAGAAATCTGCTCACATTAGTTATTTAGTTTTTAAGGATACTCGCCAAATACTAGCAACATTTCCACCTGGAGTAAAATAATGGTTGCTTTATGTAAACCGTTAAACGTTTAAGGCGGAAATTTGACACCTAGCACGAATATTAGAACAGAAATGGTGTGGATCATGAACATAAACAAATTACGTCACTGGCTCGAATGTTATAGTAATAACCGAAACATCTGGTTTCTAAGTTAACATGTTTGCTTTCGGGCCTATGACGTCATTTCATCCATATCGTTTCTATTCTAATATTCTTGGCAAGAGAAGGTGTCCGCACTAGTGAGTACTATGACTATCCTCAGTACTATCCTGAAAATTGCACCAATTCGTTAATACCAAGGCAAGAATGTGGTTCGGATTCCACTATAAACTGTAGGTCCCTTAGTTGCCATTAGCTGTTTGGGCTATTAATTAACAGTTGTGTCTAAGGAATGTAGCCTTAGTCACTAACAAGACTACAAGATCGCGCCACTCATCATACATTCATCCTTCACTCATATTTGGGTTAAAATACGTCCCCATCTTAAATAATTGATTGAATTGATATAATTGATGTATCAAAACCGAACAATCCACTATAAAATCAATTAGTAACTATCCAACTAGCGTGTTATGTTTGCCTCCAAGCCCCTATAAAACACTGATTCATATGTACGACCCCAATATGTGTTCCAAACCTCGACTAGACCAACTTCTGACTAACGAGGCCGTATGTCGAGTGCAGTGACGTATCATTGACTTCATTATTTGCCACCAGGGGCGTGGCCGAGTCTAGGATAAAGAGCCCCAACGGTGACACGCGCTAAACCATCACTAATAGCGCTACCCCGGGGCTAGAGCAAGTGCAAGGGGCTACAAGCACCTCCGGGCTTCGACGACTGAAAGAAGCAGAACAGCCCACTGTGGCCAAATTGGAGTTAAATCGTTTAGAACCTAAAGCGTCGCGGGTTTTCTCCCTAATTGACTCATTCGATTGAGCTGCAATTGTACGTTTACTGATTGAAATTATGAGTCATCGCTCGTTGGCGAGTCACTGACGTCATATTTTAATCGAGGTACAGCACTTGCTGGTTCCAAATATGTATGAAAGACGGCTACAAGATATAATTTGAAAAGTTTTTACATAATCCTACTAATACTAGTTTTCATAAACACCTACCTTTCGCATTTCAACCAAAAATAGCAATCAAGCCCGAGAGAGCGATATAAAAAAAATGTCTGAAAAAGTATAAAATTTAATTGTGGCAATAAAATCAATTCAGGCTTGGATCCAAATATATTCAACCCCAAAAGGTTCGCCTCCTCTACAAACGGCCTTTTAAGCTCATATTAGCGAAACAATAAATTCTTTAAGTCCTTAATCTATTCAGAACCATGGATGTTAGGTCGTTCACACTATGTATATTATTAGGTATACTCTTCGACTTCAGTGTAGGCATATAGTTGAAGGAGTTGTAAGGCCTACTAAATCTATTTCTAGTTTTTATCAAAGAATATTCAATAACGAAATGGAATTCCCTCTTATCAGTGGAAGAAAAATTTCATTTCTGTTACAATGAACTGTAATTTTATTCTAAATTTATGGTATGTATTCCACATTTCCACGTTCTGCTCATACAGAAAAATAATATTAATCTGCCTAATTTAATTAGTTGGATAATAAAATCGAAATCCATATTTCACGAGTATAATGCTGGGCGTGTTAAGCTTTAATTAAACTATTCCATCAATCACGGACAAAACCGATCCGACTGTTATCAATGATGTAAAGTTAATTAAGTATGAGTTTATTTTAAACAGTAATACCTCTTGATTCATTTTAATTTGATTAAAACCAGGATCTAACGGTTTTGCCTATATTTGTTCACCTCGGTTAGAACCCCATTATTATTAGTTTAGAGTTTACTTACCTGTTTCATTATAATTTAGGGTTTCCCGTATATCTACTTAATAAGATATCAGTAGGATCTTTTGAATAAGCTCCCGTACTTCAGCATTGATGTTGAGTTACCAAAAACAAAATCACACAGGATGCTTGATTATGCTCGAATGAAAGAAGTGTCAATATTACTGTACATAAGAATATTGAATATCAGTCAGCTTTGAAGATAAACCCAGTGTTCACAAAAGTGTGTATACTTCCCTGTAATATTGATATTGAAAATGAGCTATATTTCCTTAGTCTATTAGAAGCATTGAATATCCAGGTAGTGATCATTATCTTGTCCAGCTTTGACTTTGCCGAAGTTCAAGGATCAGAACCAATGTAAACGACGATCAAGACTAAGCTTGATTATGCCTTCAAGTAATGCTTGGATATTCGTGTTTCTGTTTGAGCTACATAGCTTTGTTGGTATAGTGAATGGTGTTTACATCTTCCCTGTAAACCATTGTTACTTGTAAAAAATACTGGATTCTAGCTATTTGTATGTATTATAATTTTGGTCACTTTACAGAATAAAAATTAAAACGGTTATATGTTTTAGAATAAATAAAAAACAATGAGCAACAACAAATTGTGTGTCTGAGATGTAACTTATTTTATTGCTTTTCCTAAATCATAATAATATATTACCTTTAACTCCTGTATTTTATAGCCTGTTATTTATAGCCTTTATTTATAGCCTTTCATTGCCTGTTATTGATTGTTTTTTGTCTGCATTGACTGTTATTATTGTATGTTGTTTTTCCTTGAATAACATACTTACCCAAAGTTTTTCAAGTTCAGTTTTGTTTGATTATTAATTGCATAAGTAATGTAATGTCGTTGTAAATTATGCCATCTTGTAATTGATTATGCTAACTACTATTGTATAAATGGTGTTACCATGAATAAATAAATAAACTCTCTATTGCCTTCCAACTGTTTAATTTAGGATTAAGTTTATTTGAAATATTTCGTAAATATTCTGAGATTATACATCCGTACTCCTTCTCATAAATAAGCAATTAATTGAAACACTAGAGTAGACCTATTATAAGCTAACAAATTGTAACTTAACTAATAGTAACATTATTTGTATGACATTGTGACGTGTTTTTTATGGGATCGAACTTCTTTCAAGTTCCTTCGTGGAATACAATCATAGTTTTATTTACCATACAAACTAATGTAGTACAATTTGTAGTGAATTTTGTTTGATCTTTTATTTACGAATCTATGCAAGTTTTCTTGTATAAATCATGATGCTATGCATCAAACGAAATTATCTTTTGTACAAGTGAATGTTTCGCTCGATTGAAGATTGACAATAATTTTGCCTCAGATTTGCCAGACATTTGTTTGAAGGTCTCCAATTATTTCTCTAGTGACTAGTTCTCCCCTCTATGATAGACTTGTCCGAGTCCCCAGTTATTATTGGTGTCTAGCACGTGTTACTCTGCGGGTGTCTTCATTAAATGCGTAACCACGCCCCCTCCACCCCTCGCCTGACAAACTACCCCTGCTGCAGCGCTTATCACTGCCATCATTGTGTGGTGACGCAACGATAGAAAATATACTAAACATTTGACTATATGATAGACTAATAACAAATCACATGAAGTATCTTTACAAAAAACTACTGCTGCAGCAGGGATTTATTTAGTAGCAGCAAAGCTTTCTATATGGGTTAAATATGTTTATGTTTAACATTGTACATAATAAATTATTTAGGTAGCCGTGTGGTCATAGTGATCACCATCAAATCTGAAGGTCTCTGGTTCGATTCCAAGTAGTGAGATCGTTTCTAGGCCCAGATACCATTTTATTTATATTATATATATATCTCTCGAATTTGAAGTGTAAATATTCGTTTGTTTTGATCAATTTAAATCCCACGTTTCAGCTGATCAAATAACGTAAACAAACATGTCAATTCTAAATTACTTGCAGAGTGATATAACATAATAGATCGTTAAATAAAACCATAAAAAGAGTTATTTATATATTTTTCCAGTGTAGTGGGTAGAAAAAGCTGTAAAATGACACCTTATTTATAAAAATTGGTGAAGAAATAGGGAAGTTATGGCGTACCTACAAAAAACCAGTTTAGAAATATTATCATAGGGCTAAGAATAAATTATGCTATGCAACAAAAAGGTCGACGTTAGATGGTGTGACTGGTCCATCAGAAGTCATTGTACAATGTTTTAAACTTTTTTCACTATATGACGTAGAGACATAACGAGTACGTTGAGTTGTTCTAGCTTCCGAACTCTGCTGCTGAATACGGATACGGTATAGTGTATTTTGTGCGACCTTTGTTTTTCATAGTATAGCACTTGCCAAACACCGAATTTGCTATCTGGCAAAACAGCTGTGCCTGACCTTTATGCAGTTGTATTCAGCACCGAGTTTGACAATTCGTTTATATACCAAAATTGAATACTGCATTCAGCAACTAAATATACAAAGAAAACTATTAACATGAGGTTTTCAGACGATAATTTCTACTACGTTAGTCCCTCAGATAGCTCGATTGATGTCCCAACTCCAGTTATTGATTATTCAGTACAAGGAAGGTCCAAGTGTCAATGTGTCACCCGTGTCAGTGACAGCCGTGACGCCGCTGACATCCTAGGAGGGGAACTCAGCTAAATGTTGGAGGTCAGCTGGAAAACTGTGCGTCAACGGATAACTTATAATGGGGGAAACTGTCTTTCAACGCTTGCAGTGATCGTGACACTTTATCATCAGAGGTTTGTGGTATCATAGTAATAAGAGTTGCGCGAATTACGTTATATAAAGTGACTCTTTAATATGATTTTTTTCGTATGGGGTATTGAATATGAAATATGATCCTATAATGTACAGCCACAGCGTAAACGGAAATTGTAAGTAGATTTGCACGGTTAAGTGTGAATAAGATCGGGTCTGATAATGATGGCCCAATCGTAATGAAACAAAATATTTTATGTGTTTACCGTCTTGTGAAAAACAGTGTAATTGTAAATATATGTTTTAAGTTTTAGTAGACAATTTTATTTACTTTTCGTGAGCTTGCTTGATTTATGTGTTTATAAATCAATTTTGAAAACTAACTGGTGATATATAAAAACATTTAACAATACTGTTTCATAAATATTTAAAGTTAAAATTTAACAATCAATACAAAACTAAAGCTACATATATAAAGTCTAAGTAATTCTAGAATATAGTTTTTTTTTGTTTTTTTTTAGTTGTTACGTTCACATTTTAGTTCTTTGTGGCTGATCGTAGTCGTAATATCTTTAAGTGTTGCCAACTTATTTTTAAGCGTACACGTATTAAGTGCCTAATAAAAACACCCTGTTTTGTGTTGTTTGTTTGGAATACTGGTGTGCGGCAAAGGTAAAAAGTGTGCAGCAAAAGTAAGTAGATGCAGCAATTAGCAACTTTCTGTGCTATAATCAGTGCAAGGAAGGCCACATTGTCAGCAAAAAAAAATATATTGCTGTAGGAAAAATATATTTTTTATTTATCACGTTTTGTATTTTACTTATCTGCTCACAATAATATACCATCAACATCCAGACCTAGCCTCTTGACAAATTACCAACCTTCCTCCTGACATTATAATATCATTAGCAAGTAATGAATCTCATCGCTTATGAAAAACTTGGTAATCGCCGTTGCTAACACACGGGTACAATATACGGCGATTTTTCACGATGTCCTCGCCACGAAAAGGAGCTTTGTAATTTCACAAGCCATTAGCTCCAGAAAAATATCGCACAATTACTACAACAGCTGGCTGTAAAAAGAGTAATTGAATTGTCGCGGCCCCAGCGGTGCTTGATTTGTAGCACAATTAATGTTGGACCTATTACATGTAGTGTTCGCTTGGTTGGTAACAGTTTCTACCTTAGAAATTCAACCATAAGGTTTATTATTTATATTAATATATGAGAGTTTTGATGTTTAAGTTGAAGATGATATACGGTACTTCAAACATGAATAATATGCATATGATTTAACGATAATTGTTTAAAGATACATTACCAGTTTTACAAGGTCTTAGCTCGAAAGAAGCACCGGATAAAGAGCTGCTGTAAGACACCGTTGTTTACACAAAAATCATCCTATAAAACTGAAAGTGTAACATCCTGTTACGAACGTGTCTTTAATCTTAACGTCTTCATCATACATTATAGAATGAATGTCATCCGTTGTACGAGTTTTTGTATGAAATCTATATCTATATTGTACAAGTTCAGCATCGGCTGTATATATGAATTTGATACTTCAATTGATTTCAAATTTTCTTATGCTATGATAGGCCACCAAACTTATAAAGTTAAGAGAATATAAAATGCAAACCTATACGACTTCCGCTTACAATATTTTTACTTTTATATTAAACATTAACAATATACATTCGGTAGAGTTTATGCCACAAAGTTAGTGTAGTCCTTGCTCTCTACGTAGTCGAAAGTGTCGTTGATATGTTTGTTTTCGATTCCATAACGGATCAACTCGCTCACCGCTCCAATCATCTCTGGCGTCACGTCCTTCTCTGTAACAGGTCATTTATATTTTCACAATTGGTCCATAGAGTTCAGCTAGTTTCACAATGAGTTGATGGAATGTTTTAGAAAATGATCTATTTAGGCTATCATTATCATTGTGGGATGGGGACCTCACCTAGGTGCGTATTTTAACCCACATATGAGTGAAGGATGAGTGTAGAATGTTGTTCGATGATCTGTGTAGCTTTGTTTGATCAGGATCATTTATTGAAGGCCAAATGATCAGGGACAGCTGGGTTTCGATGGTTTTGATGGACGAACAGAATGGTTTCGAACCATAAAAAAGCTACTGACTTCAGCATCGAACCGGCAACCTTTTCATTGTTAGGCCAGCACTTCTTGTATCTATAAATATATGTAGATCTTTGGAGGGGTTTCAAATGGTGTTCCTTTTTTTGTAATAAAAGTGTAGGCATAGACTACCAAACAAATAGGGAGTATGTTTAATCATTGGTTTTTGGTAGTATAGCCTACTTGTTTTTAAAACCACATATCACACATTTATATTCATTATTTTAAATATATCAGACAATTTTCAATTGTATGATTTACTAAGAGCTATACTTGAAGCTGATTGAAAAACTAATCATTCACATGTAACGAAAGAATTCTCGTTCCCAATGGGTTTACTTGTATATACATGATCAGGAAGTATTTTACATGTATCTACAGGTGTAAGTGGACAAATTACGATCATAACATGTTACACTTTATAAATAAAGTTTTTCCCAGGCATAAAGATTATCCAGTTAAATAAGTTGAGATATTCTACCTGTATTCTACTCTCTACTGTATTCTATTCTGTATTCTGTTTGTATAATACAAACATCATATGAACTCTATAACGTTTTATAACATAATGTACAAGCCATAAAATGGGATCGAGAGAGCTCTAATGTTTACCAAATGCTGTCATGGATATATCCCGCTATAAGAGAAGAAATTACTGCTCATACAGAATCCAAAGTAATACCTACTTAAATGTTCAAAACAAATTTAAATTCCTCAATTCTTAACACAATCAACCAAATGAGGTATGATTACAGTATACTACCTTTAGTTCTGCCTATATATGCTATGTCCAGCGACTTGAAGTCAAGAGGTGTGTGTTCGGGCTCCTTGGTAGCGTTAGTGTTCCATCCTCTGCCTTCAAACACTGAACCGTTGGCTCCGATCATGAAACTGAACAGATAAATAAATGTCTCCACATCTCCACTGTCTGTTTACATTTTCATTCAATTGTACTTTATGATTGTTGTATGATTGAAAATTAATTTCCCTTGCCCAAAAAGCAACTTTTCTTAATAATACTTTTTTATCAGTGTAACAAATCACAATTAGGCTCGCGATTTTAGTCCAATGAAAAGTTATCTTTCTTTGATTCATAATTTACCAAATGTTTACAGAATAAAAAGTCTGATACAAATTTGTTGTAATAATCATTCGCAAAGTATATATATTTCTTGTTTTTTATTGCTGCAGTTACCTAGAATAAAAAATTATTAAAAAAATATAGACCAACCTGGCTTTGTGACTTCTATAGGTGGTGTAAGTATTTGGCCTTGATTTTTATGTGATATACATATATAAAATTAGTAACTTAAGTTGAGATAAAAGTAGGGTAAAAGAAGGACGTAGTAATGAAGGTTTGGAAGGAATTGGGGGGATAAACGGACTTAGAGGTAGTGTATGTAGAGACAGAAATTAAGGAAGCCGTGAAGGTAGAGATAGAGGTAAAGTAAGAAGTAGCGGTAGGGATGGAGCAAAATGAATAGGTATAGAGGTGATGGTTGAGGCCGATCTTTATATGCACATAGAGGAAATAATATGATGTAGACCTGGATATAGAGGTTTAAATTTAAATTGAGGAGTAGAGGAAATGGACGTAGTGGTAGACGGCAGACGTAATGGTGGCGAAGGATGTAGATAGAGGTTTAATTTCAAATGGAGGAAAAGAGGATGTAGTGGTAAAGGTACAGTGATAGGTTTAAATTAAAATGGAGGAAAACACAGGAGGAAGGCACAGCTCCTGTTACCCCCACATTTTAAACTCACTTCCACTGGATGTCTGGCATACTCTGTTCTTCCATCTGTTTCTTCTGGATGTCCCTGAGCAGTTTCTTACAGTCGTCCTCGGAGGTGCAAGGATCTGTGCTTGTGTAGGTGAGTAACACACTCTCCACTGGGGTAAGCAGAGGCAGTTTACTGGTAGGCACCTCAGCCTGCCAGTCCGCTCGGGGAATGATATCCAAAGGCATCTTTGCTAAAGGCACATATTAAATAGTATAATCCCCTTATTAATCGGAATTTCAAATATTTTCACTGTGTTTTCCTCTATGTTCACCCTAATATGAGTTTTGCTAAACTCGTCAGTCTAGAATAGTTCCTTTGTCATTACAAATATTTCCTCACGTTAGCATCCATGCAATAGGGGTTTGTGAAGATTTTATAGGGGTCAGACAAAAATGGTGTTTAAAAGATACTTTGAGGATACTTGAATTCGGAGATGATCACATTAAGTTTTTGAATTGAGAGATAATGAACCAAATTATTCGGATGATATTGATGTTTAAAAATATATTTTTGGTTGTTGAAAAAATCGTATTTTTGTCTAATTTGGTTTTGAATTTGGAAGTGTTAGCTGTCTATTGATTGCAATTTAAAAAAAAAGTATGAATGAACCGTTTCAGAGCAATATTTTGAAAAAAATGTGTTCAGTTTGTATGACAAAGACTTACTTAGCATATTGCCTTCTCATACAGTGTTCAAAAATATTTATCTAAGTAGAATTCGACCAAAATTTTGTTTTCTAAAGTTTGAATATTGGTTTTGTTCAAAGGAAGCCTTTAGGAATTACACTGTTGATAAATATGCTGACGTAAACAAGGTATACAAACGATCACATGAGAGCAGAAGATATCCAAGATGGTGAGTATGTAGTAGAAAAAATATACGTAAAATTATAAAATTACTATCGTAAAATTATGCGTATGATCAAGGAAGTATTTCAAATCAAATTAAAAATTCTATTGTAAAATGTGGTAACTAATTTTACCACTTCTGGATCTGTGGGACCGTACTAACTAAAGCTATTAAACTGATTGTTACTGAATTTAAAATTCCCATTGATACATGAAGGAACGAAAATACTTCTCATTCATGAAACATTCATGCTTCAAGAATTTATTTTTTTTACACAATAATACTGAATACACAATAAATAATTGAATTGAATTACCTTATACAGTTTTCGTAGTCTTTACTTCCCAAACAGCACCCCGTAGAAGATTTTACTACAAATAGTTCAAATAGTTTCTATTATCAGTAAGATTATAATTGTTAGTTTTGACGTTATCTTTGGATGGTTAGTTATTACAAACACTTTATTATCTCACACCAGACCAATAGTTGTGTAACTTTTGTTTTAAAATAAATATGTCTTGGATTTACTAAAACATTAAGCTTTTCACATTTAACTTTCAAACTCAGAAAAGTAACGTTTCTTAAACACTGTTTTATTTTACTATCAAACCACTGATAGTCTAGCAGTACAGTGATAGATAACTTCTGTTTTGGAGGTCCTCTATATATAATCAAATCCTACAATGCCATGGCTTATTTTGGCAAGATAACCTTAATATATCTGGATTAGTGGACTTCTAAAACTACGTCCACAACGACTGAAACGCAATACATGTTATAATATGCCCCTCCTATTGGATGAAAATTTAAATATTCGTGCACTCATCACGCAGCGCATTGGCCATAGCACGACCGTGTTAACATAAAATGACAAAAAGTGGCCTTTTCCATATAATTGGAAAAGTATAGCCTCTGTGTGTTGGAGAACCCGTTTCTTAGCTAAGGCGTATTACTTAGCCAAAATATTGTTATAACTTACACTCACCTTTACATACAGTATGTACAAAAAGCGCTCATTAAACAATAGTTTCGATTTCGCGAGCAATAATAAATAAAAACATCTAAATTCCAAAATTAATTATTGAAATTATCTTAAATTTGCAAGCGTCTATATTACGTCTAAATATCTTAAATACAAACGGTCTGGTACTATAATACCTACTAAACATTTTCATAACGCCACGGTAGTTTTTTTCGTTTACATGCATTCTAAACAAATACGATTCCAAATTTAATAAAATCAAATTGGTAAGATGGCAGACCCCTAACAAAAAAAAACTCTTAGAGGAAACTAGACTTATAAGTGAGAAATAAATAACGAATGATGGGCCTATACACGGGTTTGTTGTATAAAAACCAAGGCTATTGTGAATCCACGTTTACAAATGTTAAAGGTCATAAACAGTAATTGCTGAAAGTGGCAATACTGACCAAACGGTAATAAGGATAAATTGACGCAATTCATTATTTAAGTTGGGATTCCAAAGGTCTAATTGGCAATTAGAATTGAGGGTGGGAGAATTGCTTCGACCATTCATTGTTGTAACATATGTTAAAACATATCTTCGTATGTTTGTAAAGATGTATCGTATAAAATATTTGCATTCTGATAGCTCTTTAAATTTTATATATATGAAAAAGTAATTTAAAATGTGGTTGTTTTTATTGTTTGCTAGTATTTAATATTTCCGAATATCTTTATGACAATTCAGGTAGAGTAGGGCACTTTTAGTTGAATTTAACACTTTATTGACATTTACCATTAACACAGGGTAGATTAGGCAATGTTTTTACGCGTTCGAACATGTAAGTTTCGATAATTGAACTTTTCTATTTCGATCCACTCGGCATAGCTCTTTAAAATTAACTGAGATCAAATTTTTATTGGTCAAACAGTTGTACCCTCTTTGATTTGTATCCTGTAAACTATTTAAATCTGAGAAGAACGATGAAAGTAGACATTTGATTAGCCCCTTCAACTCTCAAACGCTATATGTGTATCACATTCGTTGTTAGGATAGTATGTAACACTTCGAAGAGACCAAATTGTTTAAACTAATTGCATTTTTAATTTAGTGTTAATTGTTTACTGAATGTGTAACAAATACCTTCCTAATATATCTTTAATATTGACGTGCGTCGTAAATATGCACAAACTACTTTATAATACTCAAAATTACATTTTTATATCCTAGTGTTGTAAGTTTCAATACTGTAAGCATTCTTCATAATGGGTTAAAACATTTTTTTCAATTAGTTTTTCCCTCAAGAACATATTTGATTATTCTTCCTCTTTTACGTAAAAACCAATACCAAACAAGGAAAAATTTGAATTATTTTTTTTTTACGGCTGAACCAAAATGCAATCGCGAATGTGAATTTGAGCTTTATTAAACTTTAAATTACTTGGCTATAAAACCTAAATACTTTAAATGCAAAATGCTAGAGACTCAACCTTTAATATAATAGTTAAAATCTTTTATACCCAGGCTTTGGCCAAGCAACATTTCTAAGCTCTTAGAATACAAAATACTGTGAACTTCTAAGTCAGTCTCTTGCAGCTTCGTTCTTTATCACTTTCTGACAACTATGTTGAGGTTTAAAACTTTCTGGGAAGATTCTGTATATTTTCTTTTTTTCTTGAGAATCGCTTTAAACTGTTTAATGAGTAGAAAAAACGCCTGTCGTGTAAACTATTTTACTTCCTAAATATTTTTTTTAAGTACGGTATTTATCAAAGTAAAAATAGGCTTGTTTTTATTTTATTTTTTATTATTACTTATATTTTATTGCTGTTTGTAGAATAAATTCAGATTCTCAATAGGCTATATTTTAAATTTTATTTTTGATTCATTTGCTAACTGATCCTTTTTACTATGTAGGGCTATTTGTTTATTTTTTACTAGAAATCAGTTTATTTAATGAATTATAGTTTGTGATTTATGGACTCTTTTTAAAGTGTTTTAAAATATTGTAAAATCAGTATGTCAACCACAAAACAGACGGTCTTTGACCATTGTTCTTTGTGCTTATGTAAAAACACTGTATTGATATTTTATTTCAATAAACACTTTTTCTTCTTCTTCTTCTTCTTCTTCTTCTTCTTCTTCTTCTTCTTCTTCTTTTTCTTCTTCTTCTTCTTCTATTTTTTGAAGGCAAGTACATGTTTAAGCAAAATGTCCTAAATTTTGCATGTTTAACAATTTAAAACTATGCTTAAAATACCAACAGTTTGACTAATCAAGCAAGTTTTATATCATTGTTAAATTTCAAATATACATTAATTTAATTGTCTTTTTTTTTTGTATGTTAATCTTGGATTTAAAACAAGGAAGTATAGATACGATACAATAACATAGAGGAAAAAACGTCATGGCAAATGAAACTTATTTACTAGTGTTTACCGCCATTCATTGGCCATTACTTTGCACAAAAGTGAATATTTAAATCCTATTCCTATATTACTTCATATATTTGATTACAAATTCACAAAAAACTGTGTGGCAGTTTTATTAAGCAATTTAATTTTATAATAATATTATGAATCAAGTTTAAGACGATGAATTGAACAATATTGGTAAGTAAATATAGTACTTTGGGTAATTTTATTTCAACTAGAGCAATACACTCGAAACAATATAAACAATAGTTTTGCAATTTATTGATAGGAATTGCATATCTTAGTATTTATGAAAAATTCTATGTTATAGAGTAGAATAAATCATGCGCAATCTGAAATGCCATTTTTCTAGCTTTAAAATCAGTGGCCATTGCGTGCTAACGAAAAATTAATTTTAAACATGATACATTATTAAGAAGTTTTAATTTTTTTTATCGTAAATTTTTTTTCATCAGACTGCAGCAAATTTAAAGCATGCATTGTGGGTCTAAAGTGGCATTTTTACTCTGTAGTGAGTAAAAATCGGTTTTAGCCCCTAGGGAGTAAAAATCAGCTCATGTCAAATCAGTTGTAAGATTTCTATTGTAAACAATCGCACGTAATGAAAGTATGTATTGATTCTTGAGTTGATTGTAGTTATAAAAGAAACATTTATAACACAGGTAAATATATTATTTTACCGCAATGTTAACAAGTAAATCCTAATATTAATGCGTTTAAAATCAATCACTGAAAGATATACGCGTGTAGTATTATTTTTTAGAAAAGAATTCCTTATTGGAATCATTTGTCAGAGTTTTTCGCAATAAAATGCGTTAAATACAATGTACAGTACAATGACAATGGCACGATGAGACTGAGGCTGTACGGTGTGTTAGTCAAAGGAAAGAAACGGATTAGAGAACGATTTCCCGCCTGTGAGACCGCTTCCCGCCAA